TTTAAATGGGGAGGGGAGGAGGGGGTGGAGGGAGGGCAGGGACAAGGGGAAAAATGAGAATCAAGACCTATTATGTAAAGGTACAGAATACCAATGATGAATGTAACTGTATTTGTATACCTAGATTGTACCAATATCCTCAATAAAAAAGAAAAAAGAAAAGAAAACTTGTTTCTTAATGACCGGTAGAGCCTTCCATTTGAATGTGAGGGGAAACATCTTGGTAAAAGTACCTGGTGGTACAGAGGAACCAAAGTAGAAAGAAAAGGCCAGGAGGCCAGATGGGTCAGAGACTTCAGCAGGAGATGGCAACGAAGAGCTCTGGAAGCACTGCACATTTTGGAGCTTTGGCAGGAACTGGATTTTGTTCTTCTACCAACAAAAAACAACTTTAAGGCTTGACACAGGTGGATAACATCATGTAATTTAGGGTTTTGAGATACCATATTTCTGTAAGAACGGGTTTCAAAGAGTAAAAAGAGAGACGTCAAGAAGAGTTAGAGAGGCTGTCTTTCCTCCAGGTTGGCTCCCTTGTCAAAGATGAGGTAGATGAGTATGTCTGGAGTTGTTTTTGTATCTTTCAATCTGTTCCACTGATCCTCAGGTCGGTTTCTCTGCCAGTACCATACTGTTTTTATCACAGTGGCCTTGTAGTATAGTTTCAAAGTGGGAATTATTATACTTGCTGCCATGTCTCTGTTGCCTAGGATGGCTTTTGCTATTCTAGGTGTCTTCTGGTTCCAAATGAAATTTTGCATTATTTTTTTCTGGTTCTGTGGAGTATAGTGTTGGAATTTCAATCGGCATTGCATTGAATCTGTATAGCAGTTTTGGTAGTATGGCCATTTTCACTATGTTGATTCTTCCTACCCAAGATAAGGGGACATCTTTCCTTTTCTTATATCCTCTTTGATCTCTTTTTTCAGAGTGCTATAGTTTTCAGTATAGAGGTCTTTTGATTCTTTCATTAAATCGGTTCCTAGATACTTCATTCTTTTGGATGCTATTGTGAAAGGAATTGTTTCCCTAATTTCTCTCTTAGTGATTCTGTTATTTGTGTGCAAGAAGGCTATTGATTTTTGAGTGTTGATCTTGTATTCAGCTACTCTGCTAAAAGTGTCAATTAAGGCTAGAAGTTTTTTGGTGGAGTTGTTTTGGTCTTCAATGTAGAGTATCATATCATCAGCAAATAAGGACAGTTTAACTTCTTCCTTTCCTATCTTTATTGTTTTAATTTCTTTCTCTCGTCTAATTGCTGTGGCTAATGTTTCCCAGAACTATATCAAAGAGAAGTGGTGATAGTGGGCATCCTTGTCTTGTTCCTGATTTTAACGTGAAGGTTTTCAGTTTTTGGCCACTTAATCAAATGTTGGTTTTTGATTTCTCATAGATTGCCTTTATTAAATTGAGATATAGAAAATCTATTCCAATTTTTGCATGGTCTTTACCATGAGTGGGTATTGAATTTTGTCAGTGCTTTTTCTGCATCTATTGAGAGGATCATATGGTTTTTGTCTTTGACTCTATTAATATAGTGTATTACATTTAATGGCTTACGTATGTTGAACCATCCTTGCATCCCTGGAATAACTCCAACTTGGTCAGGGTGTATGATCTTGAGGAAAGACAGTCTCTTTAATAAATGGTGTTGGAAAAACTGGATTTCAACCTGCCAAAGATTAAAATTAGACCCTTATCTTTCACCATGCACTAAACTAAAATCCAAGTGGATTAAAGATCTAAATAAAAAAAAGAGACACTAAACTTGCTGGAAAATAAGTTAGGCAGAACTCTTGAAGATATTGGCATGGGAAAAGACTTTATGAACAAATCCTCAGTAGCACGGGAACTGGCAGAAATAATCAACAACTGGGATCTCATCTTATTAAAAAGTTTCTGTACTGCAAAACAAACCATCAACAGAACTAAAAGACAACCTATAATGTGGGAAAAAACTTTTACCAGCTGCTCCTCAGAAAAAGGACTATTATCTAAAATATATAAAGAACTTAAAAAAAACAGCCCCCCCAAATATAAAGACCTTATTCAAAAATGGGCATATGAAATAAACAGACATTTCTCAGACAAAGAAGTAAAAGCAGCAAGTAAATATATGAAAAAATGTTCCCCATCACTGGTCATTCAAGACATGCAGATGAAAACAACACTGAGATTCCACCTCACCCAACAAAAAATGGTTGCTATCAAGAAATCAACCATTAACAAATGTTGGTGGGTTGTGGGGAGAAAGAAACCCTTCTCCGTTGTTGATGGGAGTGCAGACTGGTACAACCACTATGGAAATCCATGTGGGGATGCCTCAAAGAGCTGAGACTAGAGGTTCCATTTGACCCAGCCATCTCTCTGCTGGGTATCTTTCCAAAAGAATTAAAAGAATCATATCACAGTGATATATGCGCATATATGTTTATAGTGGCACAGTTTGTAATAGCTAAAACTTGGAAACAGACCAAATGCCCATCAATTGGAGACTGGATAAAGAAGATGTGGTTTTCTATAAAATGGAATACTACTCAGCCATAAAGAATGAGAAATTAGAGTCATTCATAGGAAAATGGATACATATTGAGGATATACTCCTAAGTGAAATAAATAAGTCACATATGTATAAATACCAAATAGTTTCTCTGGTGTGAAAAAGACTATAATGTTACATAAGATCCTGATGGTATAATTGACTGTGAAATTGGAAGAAAAGGGCTAAAGGTGTAGGGGAAGTGGGAAGGGCAGGGGAAAGGAAATAAGGCAAAAGAAAAAAAAACACCAGAAAATGAAAAAAAATGGAAATAAAGTGTTTGTAAATAGGGAGAGGAGGGGGAGTGAAGGGAGGGCAGGGACATGGGGAAAAAATGAGAACCAAGACCT